AAAAAAAATAATTTTGTTTTAGTTGTTGTTGGACACAATACCTTTTTTAATGTGGTGCTGAGGCTCGACCCCAGAGCCCTGCATATGCTAGGTGAGCACTCTACCGCTGAGCCACATCCCCAGCCCCATGGCTTCACTTTTTGTGTCACCAGATAGAGGTTTGAGGAGGTCCTTCCAAGGGGGTAGTGAGACTCAAATCAGCTGGTAGAGCTCTTGATTTATGCTGCTGAAAAGAATTTTAGGATGCATTGAAAGCAAGGCACAATAAAGACTGGTTAAAAGACATACACACTCCAAAGGCAGGGCGTGCAGATAATCTTCACCTCTCAGAGAAGATGATTTTCCTGGGAAGAAATGTGCAAGTTCCCAGGCAAGCTTTTTTGAAAATCAAATCTCATTTCAATTATTTGATATTTGGGGTTCAGAGTATTTCTTCTTGGTTAACTGATCTAGCCATAAATCACTTGTGGGCACATTGTGTAGGTCTTTGAATCTGKTGWCAATTAAATTGATTATGTTTTTGTTCTGATTGATCTGGTACAAGCATATGCTGGAGGTTTTGTTCATCTAATTAAAGACAAGCATGGCTGGTCACTCATAATTCTGGGTCTCCATCTATTAAGGGTCTCTTTCTTCCTACGAGCCTGCCTATCTCATTTGGAATGTTGAACAATCACAAAATCAATGATGAAGACCATGTAGTAACATGGTCAAGTTTCATAACAAAACAATATATGAGCAATTAGCAGACAAAGATATATCRTCAGGAAATAGAATGAGGTCATGAAAAGACTGACTTTGAACCTGAAGCAACCAGAATCCCGGTCTTAGCTTTATTCCCTCACAAGCTATGTGACTTGACTCACTGGGTCCAGTGTTCCCAACTGTAGAATGGAAGATATAATTGACTATTCTGCAGGTGCACTGTAAAAATGAGAAATCCTTTCCTAGCACTGTCATTGGCACACAGTGGTAACATTAATTGAGCATGTATTTTTATTGCAACCATAAAAGAGATATAAATTTATTTAGGTACCAGAGATTGAAGCCAGAKGCACTTTATCACTGGGCCACATCCCCAGCCCTTTTTATTTRTGTTTTGAGACAGGGTCTCCATAAGTTGCTGAGGTTGTCCTTGAACTTGCAATATTCCTGCCTTCTGAGTCTCTGGAATTACAGGTGTGCACCACCATGCTCATCTAAGAGATGTACATTTAAAGGAAGCAGTAGAAACATAACATTTGGTAACTCCCATAATCAGGATAGAGATTGGCATTACTTGTATTTTTTCTAGAACCCAGGAAGCTGACAGTTCTGTGTGAGAGGACATTAGGTGTTCTAAATGTCACTATATTTTGTGAGGGTACCCATACAACCCACACCTGCACTCGGTGTTCCCCTTCTGTCCCTTACACTCAGGTGTTAGTCCCCAGGCTATCTTTCTTTCCTGCTGCTACGCCCACTCATTCCCTGGGCTCAACTTTCCCAAGCCTTGCCCTGAATTGGAATATTCTATTTCCAATTTATCACTCATTAGGAAAAAAATTAAGAATAAAGAAACAGGTGTTGATCTTTATGGAAAAAGCTTTTAAAATTAATTATGCAATGAAGCTTATAGTACTTTAAAGCATTTTTAAATGCCCAGAAGTCCAAAAGCTGCAATGTCCAAAATCTGCTATTTTGGCCAAGCCAAAACCTACACAGATATTTATATTTTTTGTTTAATCTGACRGCATAACACCCTCCCCCAATAGTAAAAACTCAAGCACTTTTATTTGAGCATTGGAAAACAATTTCTAGATTATTCTGTCAGAGTCCTATTCTGTTAAAAGCCAGAGGGATGAGCTGCTTCAAATGTGTTTGCAGAAATGATTTCTTTTTTTAAAAGTAGCTCTGTCAGCTGGGAGCAGAAACAGAAAAAGAACAAACTTGCTGAATGAGGATGGGTTGGAGTAGGCCAGAACTCCTGTCATAATTCTGTATTTGGCATTCCTGATGCAGCTAAAAGAAGTCCGAGTGGAAAATCTATAGGGCTGTCCTCTCTATCTAACTCAAAGTGCTTATGGGAGTAATTTTTATGTTCTAACTGTAAATATGGTACTGATTATGACCTTAATGGAAAACAACAGACACTAGAGGTTTTGTATTTATTATTACTGTATACTGCAGCAAACTTTGGCTTACTGACATAATCTATAAATTAGTTCTAATACCTCTCAATTATATCCTACAGACTTATTATTAGGGCCAAACGAGGTGTATGAAAGCCTTTTGAGGAAGTAAAAGCGCTAAATGAAAGAGGCCTATTAGTAATAATAATATGCATAGAGCCATTTAGTATTGTGGTTTTGGAATTAAATTAGCCTGAGCTTGAATTCTAGCTTTACTACTCTTTGTCATATACTTTTACACAAGCTTCTTTAACTCGTGTGATCCTTAGTTTTGTCTATTATAATACTTATAATACTGATCTAAAGGTTTATTCCGAGGATTAATAAACATAGGAAAGTCAGCATAGATGATAACTGCTGCTTTTATTAACACTAACAGTAGTAATTACATTAATGTTAATTTTATACCTTAATGATAGAGGTTACCAGAGACTAAAGATATTCCATATCTTACTCYTGTTATTTACCACTGGCAAATTCTTTGCAGTAGAGAGACACTTGAGTAATCTTGGAGGTCATTTAAGGATATAGCTAAGATTCTTATCTTCTACTTAGTTGTCTGGGCAGCAGAGAAAAGAATGAGTTTGAGAGGCTAAGGGTGGGGAAATATTTTGTCCTCAATAGGACATATTTAAGAGATGTACATTATTGTAGAAATAGACCTCTTCTTGGCAAAAGTTAAAAAACTGATAATACCAGTATCAGTAATTGCTCAAGGCAATGGCTACAGGAAGTATAAAGCAATACAGTTTTTTTTTATAAGGCAACTAAGCAATATGTTTTAAAGATCTTGGCCCTAACCAACTTAGTGAGACTCTGTCTCCAAATAAAAATATAAAAAAGAATTGGGATGTGGCTCAATGGTTAAGCACCCCTAGGTTCAATCCCCAGTACAAATAAATAAGGAAATAAATAATATTCAAACTTTGACCCAGCATTTCTACTTTTCGGAAAGTTCTCTAAGGAAAAGAGCTGTAGAAAAAATATAAAGATATCTAAAGAGGGTTTTTTAAAATGGATGTTCTTCCTAGCATTATAGACAAGTTAAATGTCTAATAATAGAACTTAGGGCTGGGGATGTGGCTCAAGCGGTAGCGTGCTCGCCTGGCATGCGTGCGGCCCGGGTTCGATCCTCAGCACCACATACAAACAAAGATGTTGTGTCCTCCGATAACTACAAAATAAATGTTAAAATTCTCTCACTCTCTCTTTAAAAAAAAAAATATCCAGGCAAAAGATAAAATAAAAAAAAAATAGAACTTAGTTAAGAATTGTCTAGTCATAGGATGAAATAATATACAACTACTAAAAATCTTTGAAGTAAAATACCTCAAAGCCTTTAGATTTATTTGCTGTTTAGACAATAGGAAGTGGTAAGAATTGTTGTAACTTAGAGTTTAAGCTCCACCCAAAAGCATTAAAATTTAAATTATAAAACACGGTTCTTGCCAAGAAAAGGCAGAGTCTAAATTCTGCCTACAAATTTACCATTTGAAACATCAACGGTTGAAAAATATTAAAATGTGGGAAGATATTTATCATGTAATTTTAAGTGACAAAAGTAAAAAAACTTATGTACATATATGAATACACCATAGTGAATCTCACCATCATGTACATCTATAAGATTGGGATCCTAATTAGAATAAAATATATTCTGTGCTTGTATGAATATGTAAAAATAGTCTCTACTGTCATGTATAAATAAAAAGAAACAAAAATAAATAAATAAATAAATAAATAAGAAAGAAAGGTATTGCTGGGTGTGGTGGCGCGTGCCTGTAAATCCCAGCAGTTTGGGAGGCTGAGGCAGGAGGACTGTRAATTCAAAGCTAGCCTCAACAAATGCAAGGCACTAAGCAACTCAGTGAGACCCTGTCTCTAAATATAATATAAACAACGCTCAGTGGTTGAGTGCCCCTGGATTCAATCTCCAGTACAAAAAAAGAAAAAAGAAAGAAAAGAAAAGTACTGACAGGGACTAGAGATTTAGTTGATTTAGTTCAGTGGTAGAACACTTGCACTGAGTTGGATCTCTGGCACTGCAAAAAAAGAAAGAAAAAAAATTAGGTAAAGAATGATTCCAATGCTTTTTAGAAGTATGTGTGATTATGTGCCTGTCAGTTGATTTGCCTTGCCTATCTGTGAAGATATTTGCCAAAATAATAATAGCAAACACTTAACATTTACCTTACTAAGGTTCACAGATTGTTTTATTTTTTAATTTTTAAAATTTGTCAATGGACCTTTATTTATTTATTTGTTTGTTTGTTTGTTTATTTATTTATTTATATGTGGTGCTAAGAATTGACGTGCTAGGCAAGCGCTCACCACTGAGCTACAACCCCAGCCCCTCAGATTGTTTTAAGCACATATGTTAACTAATTTTATCTTCTTGGTAATCATAGATACTAACACTAACCCTTATTTTACAGATGATAAGGCTGAAACAGAGAAAGGTTAAGTAACTTACCCAAGGTCACACAGTGAGAGAGGTGGGAATTCAAGCTTAGGCAATAGAGTCTGGGATCTTAACTGCTATGCTATATAAAAACCAAAATTTTATGATTTATCTGAGATTTCTTGTGTGCTTTTTATTTTCTTTGTGATTTTTTCCTGTAATAAGCATGAATTTCAAAATCAGAAAAAAAGCCCAATGTTTTATTAAAATGCACATTTATTGGCTAGGCATTTCCTGCTTCTCCAATTACTGTTTTCTTTTAATGAAAATTAGCTTGTCTGATTTGCTGTGTGAAGCCTTAAGCCCTGAGGAAATARAAAATAGGACAGGTAAATTTTATGGAGGTAGAAGGGAGAGGAACAGGCCTAACAGGCCTGTGGGACAGCTGAGAGCATTGAGCCAGAAACAGCAAGAGYAGGTTAATGAGGAACGCCATGAGGGGTGCAGGGCAGGTGGCTGTCACTGGGGAAAAGCTTTGTTTAGGCCTGGCCCTGTGCCCCATCTAAAATATGGTGGCACAGTGCTCTTTCAAGTTACTTAAAATTTTCTTTAATTTATTTCACTTTTTTTTTTTTTTGTACCAGGGGGGCTTAACCACTGGGCCACATGCCCAGTCCTTTTTTATATTTTATTTTGAGACAGGATCTTGTTTAGTTGCTAAGTGCTTCTCTAGGCTGGCTTTGAACTCGTAATCCTCCCGCCTCAGCCTCCTGAGTTGCTGGGATTACAGGCATGTGCCACCCCAACAGGCTTCACAAGTATTCYTGAGATTCCTCCTTGCTAGGCACAATTAAGCATATTGTTTAAAAATCATATAAGAAACTAGTAGTAAAGGAAATAAGGAATTTTATAATATTTCCTATAATACAAAATAATATTCCTTATAACACAATTCCTGATATTATAAGGAATATTGTAAAACAAAACAACTACCAATAAAAAGATACTATCTGCCTTTGTATAAATAGGGAGAGATCTATTTATCCATTACTTTTTGACTCCCTACTGTTAGGCTGTGTTCTAGTTGCTGGGAGATTAGCAGATGATGAGACAAACACAGTTCCTGCCTTCAGGGAGTTTACATTTCAACACTGGAGACAAAAGTAATGATTATTACTTAAACTATTGTAAAGACACAGAAAAGAAAAGGGAACTCCAGCTTAGTGTATACACTGGCAAAGCCAGCCAGAATAGCCACACTGCACATATTAGCACCAGAAAAGTACTATAGGCCAGTCTTACTTATGAATACAAGTGCAATGTCTTAAATATTGGCATATAAAGTCAGCAGTGCATTAAAAGAAATGCATCATGACAAGGTTTCATTCCAGGTTTATAGGAATGGCTTAATACTAAATAGTGACTAAAATTTACTAGATACTCCAGAAGGGGAAAAGAAATATAATTTCAACAGATATATAAAAAGGATTTGATAAAATTCAACATCCATTCCTGAGTAAATAATAAAAACTCGTGGCAGAAAAGGAATAGGGAGGAAATTTTTTAACTTGATAAAAGATTCTTAATGTAACTGGGAGCAGTGGCACATGCTTGTAATGCCAGCCACTTGGAAGCCTGAGCCAGGACAACTCAAAGTTTAGCAAGACCCTGTCTCAAAAATAATATATAAAAAAGGCTAGGAATGTAGCCCAGTGGTAAAGCACCCCTGGATTCGATCCCCAGTATAAAAAAAAAGATTATTAATATACATGAAGACATTATATATAAGAAGATATATATGAAGACATTATATATATACTTACATACTTTACATAATAATTAAGTATATGTATAGTTAATGGTGCAATTTTATTTTTTTTAATTTAAAACTTTAAATTTTTTTAGTTGAGATGAACACAATATCTTTATTTTTATTTATTTATTTTTATGTGGTGCTGAGGATTGAACCCAGGGCCTCATGAGTGCAAGGCAAGCACTCTACCTATGACCTACAACCGTCACCCAATGGTGCAACTTTAGGAGAATTTGTAGACAAGGGAATTCATGACTACTGTTCATTATTTACTGAAAGTTAAACCAATGGGATGATATAGAACAATAAGAGGTGTAAATACTGGAAAAGAAAATTGTCTTTTCTTGAAGATGACATAATGATCTACATAGAAAACAAATGGGCAAATTATTGGAGCCAATCAGAGCAGGCTAACATTACAAAAGTGATGTGTTTTTCTAAACCAGTAATAACCACTTTGAAAATGAAATAGAAAAARATTTCCTTTCACATCAGAAACACAAGTATAACATAATAATCAAATCTAATAATCTGCATCTATATAATTTAATAACTAAGAAAATATGCAATAACTGCATGAACAAAAATTTTAAAACTGTATTCAATGAAAAATAGAATGTATAAACAATAGTATTCATTAAAAGTAGTAATTACAGTAGTTGCAGACATTTGCTAGAACAGTTTCAGTGAACTGATGGAAATGGAAGTCCAATTCAAGTGTTTTGAAAAGCAAATGGAATTTGAGGAAGTAAAAACAAGAGATTTGGCTTAAACTTCTGGTTTTCTTTTTCTTTTCTTTTCAAGAGTAGCAAAAATTTATTTTGAGCTCATGGCTTCAGAGCSTTAATCCCTGGTTGGCCAACTCCATAGCTCTGGGTGACAGGTGAGGAAGAAAATCATGGTGGATGGTGTGATGGAGGAAAGTTGCTGAGTTAATGACAGAAAGCAGGAAGAGAGATGAGTCCAGTTTTTGTTTTGTGTATTTTAAAATGAAGGTAAAATGGGAGAAAGTAATTGAAAATATAGCAGATAAATGGGACATTAATGGTAAAAGTTTCCTGAGGAAAAAGGAGGAGATGGGACTTCGAACTATATGGGGATAATTAACTTTGAACACAGGGATAGTTCCTCTAAGCTAGGAAGAAAAGATTTATCTAGAAACTTGTGTAAGTCTTGGGTGGATTCAGCTCTATATAGGTTCATATACATAGGACCTGAGGTTAAAGAAATCCCTTCAAATGTACGTGAAGGGCTCAATTTTGTCTGTGAAGTGGGAAGCGAGGTCATCTTTTAAGAAAGAGTAAGGTGATGTTATAAAGAGATGACGGTGAAAGTTTACAATAGTGACCAAAGGCTTTAGAGAGTGGTCTTTAACATTTAAAATGGTCTACTGTTATCAGTCCACAGGAGTGATTTTCTCCAGCTGTGCTTAGAATGTAGTGGGAGAAGAACCAGTGTGCCTGAGCAGGATTAGGAGGAGCTCAGGGTTATGTCTGTAAGGACAAGAGGGAGCCAGTAACCCACAGTTTGACTGTGGGATCAGGTTTCCCTGGAGGAAAGTGCTGCTGGAAGACATCTGAACTTGAGATGGCTCAGATGCTAGAACACAAGCGTCAGAGCGTACGTAAGGAGCATCTGGAGGGATAGGTCATTACAGTCTGTGGAAGACGGACTTTTAGATTTCAGAGTTGACAATATTGTGTAATAAACAGGCTTTGGAGAATCCATGGCAACTACCCTGCTATATGATTTAGGGTGAGTTACATAAATTTCTGATCTTTGGTTTCTTCATATGAAAAATGAGAAGTCAGGAGAATGCTACCCCCAAATTGCTTGTCCTGGGGACTATGGAGATTTAAAGAATGAACAACCTCTACTGGAAGCAGTTGTGAATGTGTTCTTAGAACTCGTATTGGGTTAAATTACTAAAATTTCTGGACCTTTTTTTTTTTCCTTTTTTCTTTTTGATACTGGGAATTGAACCCAGGGAGCTCTACCACTGGGCTATCCTCCCAGACCTTTTTGTTTTTATTTTGAGACAGGGTCTCACTAAGTTGCTGAGGGTCTTGCTAAGTGTAGGTTAACCTCAAATTTGTAATCCTCCTGCCTCAGCCTCCTTAATCCCTGGGATTATAGTCATGTGCCACTGTCTCCTGAACTCTTTAGTAAATTCACTCCTGATCTATTGGAAGTACAAATCTAAAACATCCTTAAACAATGGAGTCATAGTTGCATTTATTTGTAATAGTTATTTGTTGGACATAAGTCTTCCAAGTATTGAGAATGATCTCACTTCAAACATAATTCAAATTTAAATAGAATTCTTTTGTTGTTGTTATTTTGTGGGTTTTTTTCTTTTTTTTTTTGTACTGGGGATTGAACTTAGGGATGCTTTACCACTGAGTGAAGACAAAATTGTGGTGTTTTATAAAACTTCATTGAGGGGCTGGGGATGTGGCTCAAGCGGTAGCGCGCTCGCCTGGCATGTGTGCGGCCCGGGTTCGATCCTCAGCACCACATACAAAGATGTTGTGTGTGCCGAAAACAAAAAAATAAATATTAAAAACTCTCTCCTCCCTCCCTCCCTCCCTCCCCCTCCCTCCCCCCCCTTAAAGAAAAGATGGGGAAATCCTTTAAAATAAATAAATAAATAAACAAACAAATAAATAAATAAATAAAACTTCATTGATCATTAGGTTAAAAAAAGAGCCATTGGGAAGATTAAATAAGAAAACCATCACCAGTCCTTTAGTTTTACATTTGCTGGCCCACAGCATACTCTAAAATGGTAGCTGATATTTTTCTATATATTGAGGCATCCATCCATTTTCAACTATCTCTATGTCTTTATGATTCTTATTATATATCTCAGAATAAACTCCTAAAAGATTAAGAATGATTTCTTTAATTTCTGAGAAGAACACTCAAGGTAATATAAAGATGAGTGTCTTTTTCCCCTTTTAGCTTTCTTCATCAAGCCATCTGTTGCTAGGCTTTATCACCTTGTGCTCAAATCCTTTATCCTCTTTATTGTTCTTTTCCTTTTTAAGATAGTGTCTCCTCATAAGCTTGTGAGATCCTTTATTCCCCGGAATACAGAGGCAGTAACCAGGGACACACTCCGGCCGGAAAAATGGTTACCTGGGYATTTTTTGCACTCATCTAATGCTTAACAACAAAAACATAACTGTTTCTACTTGAATAGTCTTACAGTTTATAATCTAAAATAGATCATAAGCTCTTAGAAAAGCTAAACAGAGACTAGAACTTGTGGAATGAAATACTTTTTCCATTGACTTATGGAGGTAAGTGCTTATAAAATGTTTTTGTTAATATGCCAAGAAGTGGAAAAAAAAACTAGAAATCATTGTTTCTTATGTTCCCAGCACTGACCACTATCTGATATGTCAAAATGACGAAGGAAATATGATTGCTCTCAGATAAAGTAGTAAAATTATCATCACTCACTCACATGCATAGGAGGAAGGAGGAAGTATTGATGTCACTCTGTCAGGTTACTATATCTCTAAATTTTTTAAAATTCACAAATAATTATATATACCTAYGGGTTATACTGTGCTTTTTAATGTATGTTTACATTGTAAAAAGATTAAATTAAGCTGATGATCATATCCTCTGGCTCATTCTTTTTTTGTGGTGAGAATGTTTAATATTTATTATTTTAGCAATTTTGAAATATGTACTATATTATTATTAACTATGGTCATCATACTATACATGAGTTCTCTAAACTTACTCCTCTTTTCTAACTGAAACTTTGTTTTACCAAAGCTTCCTACTATTATACTTTCTGTTTTATGAATTGGACTTTTTTAGATTTTGCATATGAGGGAGAGCATACAGTATTTATTTTCCGGTGCCTGACTTATTTCACTTAGTGTAATGTCCTCCAGGTTCATTGATGTTGTTACACATGATAGAATATCTTTGTTTAAAAGACTGTATAGGGCTASGGGTGTAGTTCARTGGTGGAGCACTCACCTAGCATGTGTGAAGCCCTCTGTTCCAACACAGCACTGTGAGAGAAAGAAAGAAAGAAAACCTGTATAGAATTCCATCGTGTGTATACACCATATTTTAAAACAAGCCACTCATTCATTGAGGGACACTTAATTTGCTTCCATATCTTGGCTATTCATAGAGTAGCACTAAAATAAACATGGGAGCTCTGGTATCTCTTTGATATACTGATTTCCTTTCTTTTGGATATATATCCAGTTGTGAGATTGCTGATCATATGCTAATTCCACTTTTGGTGTTGTGAGAAACCTGCATATTATTTTCCAAAGTGACTGTTTTAATTCACATTCCCTGTAGAGAGCCAGGCTTACTTTTTCTCCACATCCTCACCAGGGCTTGTTATCTTTCACATTTTTGATAATAGTGGTTCTGAGTGTTCTAGGGACTAAAATTCCATATTTTTGCCTCAGTGCCTTTGAAGTTAGTTCTTCCTGATTCTGCTTTCAGAACATACACTAGGTAAGAGGAATTTCTTGTCTTTTCTAGTACCCACATCTCCACTTCCAGCTGTCACTTAATTGTGACAAAAGTTTTTACTCAATTGGGGCAAATAATAATATATTGGTGGATGCTAATGTTGTTTGCTCCTATTGCTGCTGCTGAATAAAGAGACTCCCTGAGCTTTTGAAGATCACTTGAGTGCAGGAGATTGATGCTAGCCTGGGCAATTTAGTGGGACTCCCTCCAAAACAGACAAAACAAACCCCTCAAGAAAACAAATAACAAAACCCCAGGGATTCCTTGGTAACAGGGCACTTTGAGGTCTTTCTTTTTTTCTCTTAGGTTCTTAAACATATATATATATATATATATATATATATATATATATATATATATATATGTAATTGGCTGAGCACGGTGGTATACGCCTGTAATCCCTGTGGCTTGGGAGGCTAAGGCAGGAGAACCACAAGTTCAAAGCCAACCTTAGCAAATTAGTGAGGCCCTTAATAATTTAGCAAGACCCTGTCTCAAAATAAAATATATAAAAAAAGGACTGGGATGTGGCTCAGTGTTAAGTTCCCCTGGGGTTCAATCCCTGGTATGCTCTCCAAATGTGTGTGTGTGTGTATGTGTGTGTGTGTGTGTGTGTGTGTGAGTGTGTGTGTTCATACATAAGATGAACCTGATGGGATACTAAAGAGCTGAATGAAACTGTAGGTAAATGGAGAATGACTCACAACCAATTTGCCCAGAGGGTAGACTCCCATCTGTAGTTAGTGGTTTTCAGAAGACTATTTTAGAGACATGGTGATAAGATGTCATTATGTGACTTGTGTCTGTGCCCACAAGTCTATTGTCTGCATTTCCAGTGAGCTCCCAGGTGATGCACTGTGGCTGGGGCTGGGTGTCACACAGAGAAGCCCATGAAGTGAGTTGTACTGTGCGCATATGAGTACCTGTGCACATGGCTCTTTTCCATGTTTCCCCAGCAGATCAACTTCCTCAACCCTGGAGGCAAATGTCACAGTATTTGTCACAGGTGAAGACTGCGGAAATGACCCTRACTCATTACTTCCATAATGAGTTCTAAACTCAGACTGGAGAAGTACAATTAAGAGACAGATAGAGAGACTAGATTTTCCTTTGTTTTAGAATAAGAAAATGTTTGTTTTTAAATGACTGAATGTGATAATGTATTTGGTAGCAAGAGAAAGTCTAAAGCAAACACCTGCGTCTGTAGTTTTAGTGAATTTAAAATGTTCCTTCTGTTTCTCTTCAGGAAAGCTGCTGAATTCGTGAGCAACATGCATATTTCAATAAATCTTATATATTCCCCATAAAAATTGCTGACTAGTGAAGAAATCCATTTCATCATATGAAGAGTATTCATTGAGCACTAGAAGCTGGTTCTACTGTGCTTGGTGTTGCAGTGTCTTCTCTCACTAAATCTGACCCTRGTTTATTTGGAGTTTGCTCATCCCATAATAGGGAGCATCAGGACTCCACCTGCTTCACTCCTTAGCACGGGGCTCTCATCTCATACCTGCTTTTACCAATGGACTTGAGTTTACTGAGTTCCTGATCTCTGACTTCATCTCCTATTTTTGGCTCTGAATTTGACCCTTAGACTTGATGAGATGACAAGATCTTGCTTCTCCAGATTAATGTTTAACCCATGCCACACCTCTCCAAATATAGTTTTATACACACCCCCTGGCTTCATTCCCTGTTGCTGAAAGCCTGGTCCTTGTTCCCAGTCCTCATCCAATAACAAGGACATGGTTTCGAGAAAAAGGAAAAAGAAGTTTTATTGCTTTGTTAGCAAAGGAGAAGTACAGGGGACTCACACAGCCCTGTCCCCGAGGCTGTGATTCTGCCCATCCCAGGGAACAGGGACGGTTTTAAAGAGGGATTCAAAGGCTACTACATTCTGTGTGTTCTGCCTGAGTTGTAATTCACTTGTTAATTTGGAGACAGTCATTTCTTGAGGTAACTCTGTTTAGGATGGGGAAGAAAGAGATTAGAGAGGAGCAGGGAGAGAAGAGGAGAAAGAAACATGTCCATTTTAAAAATAAGTCCCAGTGGCAGAGCAGCAAGGGCTATATTCAAAGCATAAAGTAGAMCACTGTTACACCTCCCACCTGCTGTGGAAGGTATTAAAGTCCATTTCTAGGACCCTGCCCACCTGGGCCTGCCTTCTTCCTCACTCCCATTAGGGAAAAAAACAGACAGCAAAAGCCTTAACAATAGGCCATTTGATATAGCAAAATGGAATACGTTTCCTTCTAAAATTATATAACCCCAAAGGGGGAAAAATATGAGTCATTTAAAAAAAAAACAACAGTTGTTAGCTGATTTTTGTCTGTTTTTGTTTTAAAGAAAGGACTACAAATAAGACAAGTCATTTGTTGTTTTATTTTATTTTTATGCTTTGGCACTGGGGATTAACCCAGGGGTGCTTTACCACTGAGCTACATCCTCAGCCCTTTTCATTTTGAGTCAAGTCCTGGCTAAGTTGCTTAGGGCCTCTCTAAATTGCTGAGGCTGGCCTCAAACCTGAGATCCTCCTGCCTCAGTGTCCTGTCACAGGGATTTCAGGCATGCACCATGGCACCTGGCTCCACTTGCTATTAAAAAACAACAAACCCAAATAACAGAAAATCTTGTTGTGTTTTTAAAAGAATATGACTTTTGTTTTATTACAATTCTACTAATGAAAATGGAGGGGTAGGGAGGGAGACTGAGGCCAGGCTGAGGAGAAGAGATTAGGAGGGGCTGCCCCAGTAGAGATCAGATCAGAGCCAGATAAGTCCCCTAAGGAAGGAACCACACCATTGTTTGGAAACTAAGAAATCAACAAGTTCCAATAGTTAGGTACACCAAACATCTTTGGAGAATATGATTTTATATATTGATATGGTAGGGGTCTACCGGATTTCAGAGTAAATTTTCAAGATAACTCAGTAGCTTTAAATAAATATCTAACTGTTAATGGGCTTTTACTAAGTAGCAGAGAAACACATTTTTCCCCTTAAATATATAGTTCTCTGGTCTTAMGCACTTTTCATTTTAAATAGGCCTACCCTTAACATTGTGAGATCTGGGGTAAGATACATAGGTCCATATATCATGTCTAAATATTTAAAAATTATCCAATAATTTGTGAAATAAAATATATCCTTATCCTTCTAGACAACTTAGAATGCCAAGTTCAAATTAGGAATTTCTGGACTCCTGAAGCTGTGGTTTGGAGCCAGCCCATCAGCGGTGCTGTTCACCTTTGAGAACTGGGGAGGGAAGAGGCCTGCACAGACTGTGAAAGGGGCTCAGGCCATTGAGCTGGAAATTCCAAATTCCTGGGCACCCACAGGTGGTCTTGGAAGGAGTCTTGAGCTCTAGAAGTTCCTGTGTCCTGCTTCTACAGATTCATTATTCAATAGGGAGGGATGTGGCCAGAGGAAGGACAGAATGGGGCCTTTTCAAGTTCAGGGCTTAGGGCAGSGAGGCACATGGCATAGTTCTCAAGGGTAGTGCTGATTTTTCCCTGGGGAGTCTCCCTTGGTTATTCCTCCTCTAGTACTAATCCCCTCTCTGTCCTGTCTTTTGCCTCTTTTCTGGTCTACTGTTTCCCTCAGGCCACAGAGAGAGTGCCTATTGTTCTGTTCAGATACTAAATAGGACAGTAGGATGGTGTCTTCCACTGTTTCCCTCTTTGACTCCAATTCCCTCCACTAATTATCTGGGTTCCCTCATTAGCAAAGCTTACCCACAGGRGACCTGTCAGGGAAGAAATGGCAATAAGGGCAGCAATAAATCTCGGGAGGAGACAGATTTTCTTTTTCACTAAGAAAAAGACCTTAGATACTGCTGTTCCAAAGGGTTTGCCCAGATTCCACCCCTCAGATGGAGGGGAGATGACTCCAAGGAGCAAACATTTATATTGGGAAGGAAGAAAATTGCTTACTGACCACAGCTTGGGAGGGACAGAAACCCCACGAGGGACCAGGCCTCTGAGTAGACCCCTTGAAATGAAAGGAAAATGGAAGAATGTCAACATCATCACCACGGAGGTACTGATTTTCTCCTAGGATGGGCAAGGGCAGCCACACGGGCCCCAGTGGTACTCAGGGGAAAGTGGGTGAAAGGAAAAATACTTAATCTCTTGTGAAATGGTAACCCATTCTTGTGAAGGTACTMGGTGCTTGCTTTGAGATTCAAATGTAATCACCTTAAGGCCCTTTCCCCTTTTGATAGGATCCTCCAAGTCTCTCCAGGGATTTGGAGGCTGTGCCTTATGCTTTCTCTGTCTACTGATCAGTTCCATGGATGAATCATTGCTCTGTCAATCCTGAGCTGTTGCTGTTTTGTACCACATAGCACTTAGATGTGAAACAATTGCTCCTTTTGCACCCAAAAAACACCATCCACACAGAATGCTTGTGTACATGTGAGGCTCTGCTGAAGATTTCGGGGCAATGGTGAGATCTTACATTGCCATATAGTTTGGCCTCTGCTCTTCTTGTAGACTCTTCATTTTTCCAGTAACCTTCCA